ATTTAAAAATTTTTTCATGTTGTTGTTTTTCAAATCAAATTTGAAACATATGGCAATAAACATTTCACCCTTCCTGGGAACTGACCTTACTGTACTTCCCACCAAGTGAGTTTTGGAAAGATTGTATTGTCCTTTCCTTTCAGTAGCCTAAATTTAAACACTTATCACCTAATACCTGTTTTCCCAAGACGATGAGATTTGGGTTCTCTTGTTCAGTGATCTTTGCAAGAATTTTGGCTACTGCAAGAGGTTGTAGGCCTTCATATTCTTTGTCATTTAACAAAACATGGATACCACGATCAGCTCCCATAGCAAGGGCTGTACGAAGAGTTTCCTTTGAAGTTCAAGTGAAATTTCATGAGTTAGTTTGCGGTTGAACACAGTTACTGAACAAAATATAATTCAATTGGCTTAAAGATATTCTATTTCAAATAATTCCATTCTGTGCAACAACTAAATGATTACCTCACTTTTAGCTGGTCCACAGCTCACAGCAATAATTTCAGAGGCTATACCTTTTTCTTTAAGTCTTAGAGTCTGAAAAAAACAGATGAGGGAGAACAATTGTCATTTATGGAATACTTTCAAACGATATTATGTACTTATTGACCGAGTGGGAGCGCCAGACTAGAAAATATTGGGGTTGAGGTCATGACCTACGGACTGAGCACAACGAGGTCCATGCCTCATGACTGAGAGCCAAGTATTTCCTGTCCCACCCGACCAAACTTAGTCACTACGTATGATGCACGATCCTCGCAGTAGAGAGCGCTATTTATGCAATAGCGAAAATCAGACTTGAAAAAAATCAGGCCTGTACGGGATTCGAACCACTCACCTCTGCGATACTAGTGCAGCGCTCTACCAATTGAGCTAACAGGCCAACTGGGAGCAGGCCGTTAAGTTGATTCGTAATAAACCCGTGATGATAAATCAGATACAATGAATATATGAAGTTTATATATTTTGAACTGCGGTTGTAGATACGTATGATGCACGATCCTCGCAGTAGAGAGCGCTATTTATGCAATAGCGAAAATCAGACTTGAAAAAAATCAGGCCTGTACGGGATTCGAACCACTCACCTCTGAAAAAAATAAAGTGCAGCGTTCTACCAAATGAGCTAACAAGCAAAAAAAAAGCAGGCCGTTAAGTTGATTCGTAATAAACCCGTAAAAAAAAATCAGATACAATGAATATATGAAGTTCATATATTAAAAAAAGCGGTCGTAGATACGTATGATGCACGATCCTCGCAAAAAAAAGCGCTTTTTATGCAATAGCGAAAATCAGATTAGTCAAAAAAAACTTTATCATAGGATGTGATAGACAGCCACACACAAAAAAAAAGGTACAAAATAAAATTCTGCAATTAAAACTTTTCAAAAAAATTTGTTTGGTTAGAATAATAAACTCTTAATTCCATAAAAAAAGGGACTTTTTTTTCTCATTTCAGTTTTCCTTTGTTAAAAAAAAGGCCGAATGAGGGCTGCAGGGGCCAGACAGCTCTAAAAAAACCAGCTCACATCAACCCATCCAGTCCTGCACATGTAAAAAAACACTATAACAGTTTTCTCTAGGATTGCAAAAGAGGAAAAAAAAGGTCAATAGTTTTTCATGATACACTTCAGAAATTAAAAAAATCAAATTTTGGTTTTACCCCCCAATTAGCTGAAGTTTTAACCCTTAAAATCCCAGATGTGATTAACATGTAAATTCTAAAAAAAATATTCATAACTTGTCCAGCAAACAGAAAATAAGAAAAAAAAAACTTATCAAGCAGAGGTTGTTATCTTGATCTAACAAAAAAATGTGTAGCAGCTCAAGCGGAGTGTTGAGAAACAGAAAAAAAACTCTAGGATTATAGTCACGTCAAATAACAAAAGCAAGATCATCTAACCCAAAAAAGCCAACAGTAACTTGTACCATAAAAAAAATGGATGACAATTTCGTTGTTTTCCTGTTTGTCTCTAAAAAAATTTACCTTGTTATTACCTTGTATATTTTGCTTGGAAAAAAAAAATTCATGCTCACTGTTACCTCAGACTAACACCAAAAAAAAATATTAAAAAATTTCAAGTACTAATTCTCATAATGTAAAAAAATTAAAGTACTATCTAAAAGAGTAAAGGTCAACGCGAAAAAAATTCTTCGCCTTGCAAAATTATCCCAACACAAATAAAAAAAAATTCGGAGATAAATTTAAGTTCGGAGAAAGCAATGAAAAAAAACATGGTAAATCGAGCCAAGTTAGCCGGCAGAATACAAAAAAATAGAAGAATCATAAACGGCTGAAAAACAAATCTAAAAAAAAAAATGGGTCACGTGGGAGAAATAAAATGTGTTGTTTAAAAAAAAAAGACAAAAAAAAAACATAATACAAACTTCATTCAAAAAAACGAAAATGACATGGATCGATGCACCTCTTCTTATGAAAAAAACATTCAATTATTGGATTGAATATAAGCTTTTGGACATCCCTACCAGAGAAGCAGGGTTGTCAGGAATTTACTTAAGGAAAAAAAATAAGAACTGTTA